GATGTGGCTGTAAGCCCCCTATGTATGTATGCGCCGGAACGTAGGAATGCTCAGGTTGGTGTCTGAGGGCGTATACAGAGGTTATTCGCTGCCCAGTGAAAATGGCCTCCTTCTCGGTCTTACCGACAATATCTAAAGGAATATAAGATATTACATTTAGTATCGGTTTGGCTGCAGGAATTGACGGAAATTTTTTCAGTGTTGACAGACGACCGCCATTCCGGCTCCACTCCGAGTTTTCTTTCTGGAGTTACTTCCATGGATATGACAACAAGGCATAGGATGTTTAAAATCAGAGTTTTCTTCCACTAAATAGACTGCTTTCCCGGCTGACGATATCCATCAATTCGAAGCAACTGGTCAAGAAAACTTCGACTTTGAGCAGGATTTAACTGTCAGAGGTTATTTGAGACAAATGCCACGGAAGACAAAGACACAGGGAGCTTGTCCCCACCACCACACCCCGCTATGTGACAACCTTTCGAATATATATATATATATATATATATATATATATATATATATATATATATAGTGGTAAATATACACATACATATGCAAAATATATAAATATATATAGATAGATGCATACACATACATATATTTTTTCAACTCCAGAAATAAAAATAGAATTTAGAGAGAGTGTAAGTATGAGAGTGTGGGACGAATGTTAGAGCTAAAAAGAGGGGTAACAAACGAGAGAAGGTGAGAGATTAAAACATAACAGAGAGAAGTTTTAGAGAGGTGAGTTGAAGACGGTTTAAGTGAGAGAAATATGAATGTTGTCGGATGTCTAATACGTTTAAGATTTAACCGGAAAGGATACATTTTGTGGTGACATACACATACAATATTTGATTGGTAACGTGTAGTCGATATTAATTTTGTCAAATTTTCTTAATTACACAGAGGCCCTTTCAGTAAATGCCCTTCAGTTTTAGTTTCCCCCGCCCCATCTCTCTCCCCCCACCCCTTTTTCTTTTCTTTTCCTCTCCCGCTCTCTTCTTCTGATCTTTAAGATTAGATCGTCTATTGACGACAATTATATTTCCTTATTTTAAATGAAGCTCGACTGAGAGCATATGCAATTATCAAATATCCTTTTCGCAATATGAGAGAAGAAAAAAGTGTTAAAATAAAAGAGAGGTTAATGCGTACCTTTTTATCAAGCTGTCGAGCTTTAATATTATCAATCCGTGAACGAGGACTAGTCGGGGACTTTCTGCTTGGGGATGTTGTTCCACTGTCATTTTTAGCCGGACTGTTCGAGCGTGTGCCACCAGCTTTGCTTTCAGACGATAAGTCTCTTTCTTCTTCATTACCATTCTCGTCTTCCTCTTTACCGTTCACCGTTCCGTTTATTCCATCATCTTCCACCTTCTCATCATCTTCTATTTTCCCCTTTTCTTCTTCTTCCTCCTCCTCTTTTTCCTTCCCCTCTTCTTCTTCCTCCTCCTCTTCCCCTTCTTCTTCGCCCTCTTTATCAATGTCTCCATTCTCTTCGTTGTCGTTCAACCCGCTCACGTGACTGGTGGCTCGACTCTTGTGACCCTCACTACCCGCGTCAGCGGCAGTGTCGTCATTCGCATGGCCGTTCATCCCATCGGGCGATTCACTTTCGCTTACGTCGGCATCTCCTCCTTTTTTATCTCCGTCATGTTCGTCGGTCTCTCCGTCGCCATCTTTATCTTTTTTCTTCCTCCTCTCGGACGGGCTGCCAGCATCGTCCCCAACTTCGGACCCCCCCTCATCGGCCGCGCCCTCATTAGCATCATCGTCGTTTATCTGCGATGCCAGTTCGCTCTCCTCCCGTTCAATTTCCTTTTCGATTTTAACGATGCTGGGCGGCTCCAGTCCGAAGCGGTACCCTAAGCGGGCCAACTCCAGGAGGCACACAACCACTGGCTTCTCCTGGCGGTGACAAACTGCAATGAAACCAACAGAAACATGAAATAACAGCAAAGTTGGAAGATAAACATCAAGCAAAAAAAAAAAAAGGAAAACAAATAAAACAATATTTAAATAGCAGGGTAGACTGGGCGCTTAGCCTTGGATGGCAACCAGTCTAGTAGAAGGCCCACTCTGAATGTCAAACCGTGGAGGAAATAACGATAAAAAGCTACACAATTTTTCTCAGAACTGTTCTAGCATACCTACGGGCGATAATGGGTATGTTCCCATTCACATAAATACAGTAGTATATACTGTATGTTGGTCTGCAGTTGGAGATTCGTCTCCACCTGTACTGGTCAAACTCTCTGGCTCCGGGCAGAGAGGATCCCCAGACGAGGCTATGTCGAAGGGCAGAGTGAATGGACAAATAGAACCTTGCCAGATTGCGAATATCTTCGCAGCTAAGCAGCCGCGTAAAACGGTGCTTTCTCCAGCAAAGGGAGACGCAGATTCAAATCCTTCTGGAGGACACATCTTCTTTAATAAATTTTATCGTGTGCAGGTCATTAGACTAAATAACTAATTTTAAAGTAAAAAAAGGAACGTCTATACAAATACGGGTAACCACTAAAAATAACGATTGAAGTTATAAAGATATGTCGGATTAAAAAATAAAATTCAATAATCCTTTCGAAAAAGAATATATCACGTTAAACGTTATTTTTAGTGGATACTCATATATAAATGGACGTTCCGTTTATTTATTAAGTCTACTCAAATATAAGTATCCACTAAAAATTACGTTTAAAGTGATAAAAATCCGTCGGCTTAATAAATAAAAATCCAAAATATATATTAATACAAACGTTACTATAACGAAGGCTCGCATTTGAAATAGACGCCCCATTTTTAATTTTAAACAGAGAGCGTCACAGTTCGGAGTTTCTGTAGCCGAGTTAGTTAAAGATCAAATATGGATCGGAATCCGACATGGTGATAAGATAAAGAACAAAGCGGAAACACTTATCAATCTAATGGTTTTAATGCATATGATACATGACTGACCAATGAGAATCGACTAAGACAAAATTGAAAATACCAAAGTTCTGTCTTTTTGTCTGTTTTCTTTCAATCTGTGACGAAGCTTTAGTAAAAGTGAAACATATTAGATTGATAAACGTTATTTTATTTGTTCTTTATCTTATCATATAATACGATAAAGAATACACAGAACCGTCTCCATTGAAAAATTAGAATCTTTCTTAAATAACAACGCCTACACAAAAACCAATGAACAAACAGTAAACACAGACACGCAAAGGTTCAACAAAACAGTTAAGAAACTATTAAAAAATGAAAACAAATCCTGGAGCAGATTAATAGAATACCACCCCCCCACCTCACCCGCACTCTATACCTCTTACCTAAAACGCAGAAACCCGACATATCCAACAGACCCATTGTTCCAGAATCAACAGTGCATCCTACAAGTTAGCTACAGTCATTTACAAAAGTCCTAACTCCGTTACTAGGAACCATCAACACAACACATTATCAAACACTTGGTGACTTAATCCAGAGAATACAAACGTAAATATGGAAAACATGAATATGGCGAGCTTAGACATTAAATCACTATACACTAACATATCCATCACAAAATGCCTCAACATATTGTGAAACCCCCTCAAAAAGTCCAAAGAAAGGCTTCCGCTACGCATCCACAAAATTATAAAAATATGCAAACTAATCACTAACCACTGTTTCTCCTCTTTCAACAATATTCTCTACATCCAAAAAATCGGCTTACCTAAGGGATCACCTCTCAATGATGTTCTCGCTTGCCTTTTTCTAGAATTCTTAGAATCCAGTTCATTTAAACACATCATACTAAACAGCTGTACTTACCTATATATACAGATGATGTCCTCTTATTATATTCTGAAGATACAAACCTATTAGACATAATAATGAAATTCAATGAGGTTGAACCTACCATTGAATTCACACACGAATTTGAAATAAACAATTATCTACCTTTCCTCAACATCTTATTAATGCGCAACATTGAGAAATTAGATTTTAAAGATTATCATAAACCCGCAAAAAATAACGATCTAATCAACTTCTATTCCCATCACAACCAAAGAATAAAATCTGAACTAATCATAGGATTTTACCTTACAGCCCTTCGGATATGTAGGCCGGAATATCTAAATGAAGAAGAGTATATTAAGAAAACTTTCAAAATTCTCCACTGCCCACGTCATTTTATCCTCAATGCTAAAAAACAAGCTTACAAAATCCACAAAGCCAAAAAAACAAACCCCACCATAACACTTCTAACAAACATTGCACAAAATTCATAATCCTGCCCTCCAACACTCTTTCTACTAAACTCCCAAGCAAATTAGTCATCCCTAATACTAAGATTTTTACCACCACCTCCAAAACAACCAGATATATAATTAGGAAGAAAAATAAACCCAACACCGATTCAAATGACGGGATTTTTCCAATAAATTGTTTACAATCCAAAAATGTTTATGTGGAGGAGACATAACGTGATCTAAAAGCCCGCATCTACGAACACAAGAGAGACTTGCGTTTGGACATACGATCTAACTCTCTCGTTTTGCTGTGGAACGATGTTGAACATAACTTTGATTTTACTAATGCCACCACAATTAAAAAAGAACATAATTCTTTAAAGACAAAATACATTGAAAACTTGATGATAACATTATTGCCAACTATAAACACATGCCTAAAACATTATATTACATCGCAGTCTTTCTTTTAATCCATTCTTAAAGAATCTAACATATATATCTAACACAAAGAATACAAGCTTAAAAAGATCAGCTATAAATTCAAATGATGCGACAGACTGCTGCGCTGGCTTCACCGCACAAAGGTGAAGACTTTAGAACTCCCACTAGACAGGCACACATACACAATTACGAACGCGCATTACAATCCGAAGCCCGCTTAGACATGCAAGAATCTTCACAAACTTACATACATATAGAATTGTCTACGGTTTTAATGCACGTGACAATGAAAAGTGACCGAAACAAAATTGAAAATACCAGTGTTCCTCTCTTTTTGCTTGTCGCTGACGAAGCTTTAATAAAAGTGAAACATGTTAGATTGATAAACGTTTCCTATTTGTTCTTTATATCATAATTCTGTCGAATTCCGGTCCATATTTGATCTACATTTGATTTTTAACCTCACACACGCACTCATACACACACACACACATATATATATATATATATATATATATATATATGAAGAGAACATTGAAGTCAACACTCAGAGGCGACAGGCTGTTTCATGCTAGACGCAATCGTCAGGCGGCCTGACGATTGCGTCTAGCATGAAACAGACTGTCACCTCTGAGTATTGACTTCAATGTTCACTTTATATTTACACACGCTCTATCTCTGATATTGAGCACTTTGTCCCATAAATATAGCATACCTAAAAACTATATTTCCTTTTATATAATATATATATATATATATATATATATATATATATATATATATATATACACTACAGTTCAGAATTTTGAAGCAACCCCCAGAATTAGTATATATATATATATATATATATATATATATATATATATATATATTATAATTTCTGCGTTAGTATATTTATCTAGCTATCTACTTTGTCCATGTGCACCAAAAGATAACCGCAAATATGCCCGATCCTTTTGATGTGTCATCACTTCCATAAAATCGCTCTTTATTTTCGAAGTGTGTGTCCCACATCGTTTACATTCTTCGATATCAATCGTGCTCAGTCGGCAAAAGGAATTAATAGTCGACATTCTGGGCTTACCCAAATCTTCAGACTCGAACATACATCCTTCATTAATGCCAAAATCTCGACACCATCGTAGAAAGTTGGCAGTATTGTCTCGGGCATACCAGGTTCGAGACTTCGCGTTTTCTCGGCATCGGAACCTTAGCCTTGGGATTGTCTGAAAAAAAAAACGATTATAATAAAATTAACTTCTTTTGAATTTCAATTAAAAATACAGTTAAACACATCAAATATTCTTTCTTTTTTTTTTCTTTTTTTTTTTTTTTTTTTGAGTTCCTTGTTTTGAATATGGTAAACGAATAAAGATCAGCAGGACTAAATAAATAAACAATATAGTAACTCAAAATGCGAATTCTAATTTATTCCTTTATTCCCTTTTTTTCTATTCTTTTTTCACTTTATGAAGAAAGGGCGTAACTCGAATTAGTTTCGGTTTATTTCTCACTTTGGAGATAAACGGACTCTATCATAATTTCGAGTTGGTGACTTAGCCTTCCTGCGTGACCGAGTCAGTCTAGAGTACCAGTCGGATTTAACGACGGTTTCTCCTGCCAAGGGGGACGCAAGTTCGAATCCTGCCGAAGATCGCATATTTTTCTCTAATATTTCTTGAATATTCAGGCTGGTAGACAAAAATAAATAAATACAGTGTTTAATAAATAAACGGATCGTCTGCTCAAATATGAGTATCCATAAAAAATAACGTGTAAATTGATAAAAATCTGTCGGATTAAATAAATAAAAAATCCATTACTTCTTTAGAAATTGCTTTGTTTATGTTCAGGTATGAAACTGATCAGATATGAACTTTTGAGAATCTGGGAAGAATTTACACGAAATGAATTTAACAGAATATATGATCGTTTAAAAAACAATCCGCCTGTATAAAAGACAATTACATCGCGATACGCGAATTTATCATCTGTTTAATGGCGTAGAAAGATAAACCAAACGTCATGAGGTAAATAGATAAACATTTAAGATAATGTTTAAATATATGTCTGTATTATAAATTAGTTTCGTTGAATCTAGTCGCTTATATTTATATCAAGGGGACAAGGAAGTTGATCAACAGTTATTTTAATATCTGTCTATATCATCTGAGACGAGGTATTATGATTACTTGTATTATTTACATTATTCGAACTGTTATCCTCATCTCCATTGCCATATTCACAACGTTTCGGCCGTTGTACGTTCCGGCCTTCTTCAGGTGATTGGAATTTTGAACCGAACACTTTATTTCGTTCACCTGGATAGATTGTTCTAGTTCCACGTGTCATGTCTCTTCCGAGGTTATTTCCCTTTAACTCAACTCCCCAAGTTTTTTTGGTTCACCACTGCCGTGGCTTAGTATTGAACTCACAACTCTTTGGATCTATCCACTGGGCCATGTGTCTTTGAGGACATCTGTGCATGAATTTCTGTGATTTATAAACCTAATGTCTCAGCAACCATTTTACCAGTGCAATTTTTTTGTTATTATCGCATTTTTTACCAGAGCTTATATTACTATTTTTTGTAGTTATTCATTGCTTTTCATACACAGATGTCCTCAAGGACACATGGCCCAGTGGATAAAGACATTGATTAGATCCAGTGACTAGACCCAAAAAGTTGTGAGTTCAATACCAGGCCACAGCAGTGGTGAACCAAAACTTTGAGAGTTAAAGGGAAATAACTGAGACATCCGGAAGAGGCATGGCAGGTGGAACTAGAACAGTCTACCCCGGTGGAAGAAATAAAGGGTTCGGTTCGAAATTACAATTTCCTGAGAAAGGCCAGAATGTACAACGTCCGAAACGTTGTGAATATGGCAATGAAGACGGAGATAACTGTCCGAATAATGTAAATAATACGTGTTATCTTAATTTTACGCTTCAATTACGCTGTGGAATTAGCAAATGCGAAACAATTCAAATACTTCGGCGTATTGATCAATTATAAGAAATTTTGTATGGAAGATAAAAAACCTTAAATTAATAATAGGCTTTGTTAGGAATAGTTTCTCCCAACACCACAAGTTGCTACAAAACCAAAACATATTCATAAATAAACTCGCCAGATAGAGACTTTCATATAAATATCATACATAGCACCAAAATCGTTCCAAAATATCTAAAATATCAGCTGTATAGCACCACTTTAGAAAGATCAAAGATTAAAAATGGCTTTATTTGTAGGTTTTAGAGCAGACCTTCCTTCTTCGAACTTCGGGATCTGGCGCCATAGAATCACAAACAAAAACTGTATTAGATAACAGATAATAGAAACGATATCACTTGAGGACTTTCAACAGCAGGAACAGCTAAAATGGATAGCACATGTAAGTAAAAGAGAAAATAATAACATAATGAAGATGTTGATATTCGACACTCCTTTAAACAAAAGGTTAGGAAGGAAACCCCCATCAATACTGGAAAGAGCAATAACGGTTACTGGACTTGAGAAACATATTTTCTTGAAAAAATGTTTTAGCAAAAAGATTTTATAAATTTCAACCGAAAGTAGCACTTGCTGCTTGGTCAATGAGTGCCGAATGTTTCCTTATAAGGAAACGGGTCATCACTATTACAATTAATAAACAGAAAGTATTGAACGTAGGCATAAAAAATGTCCTAGCTCTATTGAAAAAAAGGTTCCCAAAAAGTTTAATGATTTGCCATTTGGTCAGATTTTCGATAATTGGTCAGATCAAGAACTTTTCAGCATGCCTCGTACTATAGAACTTTTCAGCATGCCTCGTACTATGGAACTTTTCAGCATGCCTCGTACTATAGAACTGCAAAATTATTTAAATATTTCAATTATTTTTTGATCGTGTAAATAAATAATAATGTTCAATAATAAAATAAGAAATATTTTCTTTTGTTTCTCAAAATTAGCCTTTTGAGAAACAAAATAAATTTTTGTATATCATCGCATCCAGTTTTTATTTACATATTTTCGTTTTGCCGAAAACAATATTAAAGAGTACACTACAAACTTTAAAAGTTAGAAGTTGATAGAAACGTCAAAAAATCTTAGAAAGATAGAAAAGATTGTTCTTGTCAAGGTTAACAATGGGGTTAATAACTTCTTGCTTTCACTGACTGAGAATTGGGAATAGCTAACTCATTGACTCGTTTCTACTTCAACCAGCATTGGCATACCAATGGTACGTCAGATTTTGAAGATATTTGGCAATGGAAAAGATCACCGGGAGATGTAGATTCATGCCTTTCACGGGATATAGATATTATTATGATAGCGGAAGATATCAATCCCAAAAGACAAGAAGATGTTTATTTTATTTCACCAGAATTGATTTTTTTTCTTTCTTTCTATCAAAATATCAATCATCTTTGGTATAATAAAATGGAACTCTCTGCTAACAGCCGGAATTATTTTGGAATATTTAAATCCCAAAGAATCTGAACAAAACAAATTGATCAACTATTAAAGCATTAAATTATTTGATCTGAATTTCTTAATGCGATTATTGATAAAGTCTTCAAAACGTTTCGTATTATTTTAACTGCGACTTATTTTGTGGCAAGAAAATAGTGAATGCGAAATAATTTGTAAACGATTTATTGTTTACGTTTTCATAGTCTGCTTTGACAAACGGACATTCGAGTCAAGCTGCCCTCAACACGCAAGCAGTGCACAGTAGAAATATTGCAGATACATATGAGGTGCCATGTTTAATTCACTCTACAAACTTTTCAGTATTTCGTTCGATCTCAACGCCAAGTGTTTCACAAATATTTGAAACATTACCACTTATTTCCCATCTTATTTAGTCGAAAATTAGACTTGAATCAGGTTTAGGGTCAGGGTTAATTAGGCTTGAATCGGGTTTAGGGTCAGGGTTAATTAGGCTTGAATCAGGTTTAGAGTCAGGGTTAATTAGGCTTGAATCGGGTTTAGGGTCAGGGTTAATTAGGCTTGAATCATGTTTATGGTCAGGGTTAATTAGGATTGTATCAGGTTTAGGGCCAGGGTTAATTAGGCTTGTATCATGTTTAGGTCCAGGATTAATTAGGCTTGTATCATTTTTAGTGTAAGGGTTAATTAGGGCTTGAATCAGGTTTAGGTTAATTAGGCTTGGATCGGGTTTAGGGTCAGGGTTAATTAGGCTTGAATCGGGTTTAGGGTCAGGTTAATTAGGCTTGAATCAGGTTTATGGTCAGGGTTAATTAGGCTTGAATCGGGTTTAGGGTCAGGGTTAATTAGGGCTTGAATCATGTTTATGGTCAGGGTTAATTAGGATTGTATCAGGTTTAGGGCCAGGGTTAATTAGGCTTGTATCATGTTTAGGTCCAGGATTAATTAGGCTTGTATCATTTTAGTGTAAGGGTTAATTAGGCTTGAATCAGGTTTAGGGTTAATTAGGCTTGGATCGGGTTTAGGGTCAGGGTTAATTAGGCTTGAATCGGGTTTAGGGTCAGGGTTAATTAGGCTTGAATCAGGTTTATGGTCAGGGTTAATTAGGCTTGAATCGGGTTTAGGGTCAGGGTTAATTAGGCTTGAATCAGGTTTAGGGTCAGGGTTAATTAGGCTTGAATCGGGTTTAGGGTCAGGGTTAATTAGGCTTGAATCAGGTTTATGGTCAGGGTTAATTAGGTGATGTCACTAGTTATCTTTGTTCCGTCTCATCACCAGCAATCAGGTAGGCAGGAAAAATGAAAAAGCACGAAAATGTAGGTAAGCCCCTCTTCATATTTAATAAGAATACCTGTAACAAAAATGACCGATTCACCCTGTAATGATAAATACAGTAATAAGAGGGACATTCCAAAATCACTTCGTCCAAACTTGTCCCTGATGATAAGTACCTAAACGTGTTTACTTACTTCGGAATATTTTCCCTCTCGACTCGCCTCTTCAGCTTTCGATTGAATGAGAAATGCCAATCGGCACAGAGCTGCACCGTTGTCCAGAACTTGCAAAAATGTCTCCGTTGTAATGGGAATATCTACAAAGTATACAAAAAATGGTCAGTCAACAAATCAAAGAACGAGTGTTGTGAGGTGAATATTAACAGTCAACTTTTTAATTCTTCGGACGAATCCATTTGCAACAGGTTTTAAGCTCCAAATAATTACATCTTGATAGTCAAACAGAAAACTTTAAAATCAATCAGAAATCACAATTTCATTTCAATATTGATTTCATCTGAAGCCTGGAGGCAAAGTTTACGTTTGTTTTATTTCTGACTCTATTACGCATCCACCATTTTCCAACTTCGCTTGTGGCCATTTCTGCTTTAGCAAACTAAATAATTCTGGTGACAGAAGAAAAAAGGGTTTAAGATTAAACAGTGAATTTTTCAAATTTCACTTAAAATCAAAATAAGTAATTCACAATGTTTTGTGTACGTGTGATTCGTTGAACATCAAAAAGAAAAGTCATCGTCAATCATCGAGAAATAATGTGAGATTTTCTGATAGAACATGGCGCTTATTTGGATAATGTACATTGCTAATTATTTTAATATAACATACATTTAAAATGATTTTACTATCGAAACACATTGAAAAGCAAATTGTTTTTATTGATAGATTCGTTTTCTTTATTTAAAGTCAGAAAATATTTCTAGTTTGTAAGATTTTTTGAGATAATGGTCTAGTGATAAAGTCTTACTAATTAACCCATAGTTAGGGGAGAAGAGGTGGATTCGTGCCATTCTCAAAATTCTACTATTTAATCCATAGCTGGGGGAAGATATATTCTTACCTTCCCCAAGGGTATTTGCGCGAAAGTGAATATAACGAACCCGACTGGAATTGGAACTCGGCTCTCTGATTAACAATTCCACCACATTATCCATTACACCACCCGCACATCTAAGCTTACAGCACTTGCTATTTCCAAGCGATTACCCATCTAGCTACGAACCAGGCTTGACGTTGCTTAACTTCGGTGATCGTACGGGAAACGGTATTGCAACGTGATGTGGCCGTAAGTGTTTGAAAATCAAGAAGAATAGAGGCGAGCGTTAATGACTGAAAAAAACATATGTCCATTTCGTGTCAATGGCAATGCACTTCAATATTGAATATTTGGTAATGCTTTTCAGTGAATTTTCGTAGTAAATCGATTATAAGCAATTTCTTTTGTAAAAAGATCGATATGAATTTGTATAATATAAAATCAATTGTCATCTATTTTTATAAAAAAAATCTTTCAAGTAAATAATTTTCAATCTAAGTCTAATATAACTTTTTGTAAACTATAAGCCGGTGAAACTCTCTTTTCAACAAAATATTCTCGCGATTACAAACAAGTGTTCAGTTTATTTGAGCTTGGTGTATTTCTGCTCCCCGGTTATGGGTTAAATAGTAGAACTTTTACCTGTCAAAATCATTGTTATTTTCAAAAAATTGTTAATGCACACTGGCAAAAGAGAATTATTCTTACAATTCGAAATGTTTCGGCTTTAAATAACCCCCAAAAGTGCGATAAACCGTAAAAAAATTATCGATCACTGAATCAAAAGGATGTATCTCTCTGGCAATATAAAGTGTTAAAAACTGACCGAGTAATCGCTGGATCCATTCGGCGAGGTCCTCTTTGAGCGGAATTAAGCTTTCCGCTTGCTGTTCGGCTCGTCTCGTCTCGTAGTCCTCATCGACGGCCGGGTAGAAATTGAGTTTGTTACCGACTCCGATGTCGTCATCTCCATTGGCCGATGGATGGGAGTTATTCTGTACGGCCATCATGGACTCCTGGATGATGGATACAAGCGGTGTGGGCTCGCCGGGCGTAGGGATATGCATACTCTAGCCAGCTGGTTGATGCCACCTGCCACGGAATAGAGATACGTTATACACACCCCCGCGTATGAAATGAAAAGATTCAGTAAACTAGTTAACGGGGCAGAGCTGCTATAAAGAGAAAACAGAAAATTGTATCAAGTCGGCACTGAACATTATGCAAATACGGAAATGTAATTCTACTTAGCAAGAAGATAGTGTAGCACAAAAAATGATAATAGCTTCTACTCAGATTAAATGACGGTGTCGGAGGCAAATTCACTTCCGAATAGATCTATGCGGTCTTTTGAGGGGAGCTGGAGATGTATTTTCCACTCTATAACCTTTTTCGTATAGACGCATTATTACAAGATACTACTCAACCGCTATTTCTATACCAAATGTTCACATAAGCTTTGTTCTTTTGTTTTACCAGTTCAGGCATTTACAGCTAGGACACATTATGTCTACAAATCAATGTAATCTACCAAGCTAATGTTTGATTCAAATGAAACCCAGAAAATATATCAGGGTAAGAGAAGGTTTCTGGAAACAACGCTTTACTCACACAAACCACCATTTAACAACAGAAACTATGCAAACAGTACTACTATATCAAAGAATATACGCCAACTCAAATCATAAAACAAAACACGCCGAAATTAACATAACAAATAATAAAAGCGGCAACAGCTTACAACAAGACATTAAAATAAAGTAACATTTGCTTAAAGAATAACATAATGATAATTAGCTTTCTCAAACAGGATAAACTCCAGTACAAGAGATCAGCACTTATTTCAAATGTAGATATGAAAGCAAATTCATTCGCTCTACCTACAACTACAACATTAACAAAATATCATAATACAATAAAGAAAAATATACAAACTAATAAATAAATAGTATAAATTAAATTATATATATATATATATATATATATATATATATATATCAAAAAGAAACAATTTATACAAAGATTTAAATAGGAATGTTAATGTGATTAATGGCGAAATCACTTCGCTAAGAGGACTTAATGAGACATTAACTTACTCTCAATTCCTTGAATAATAAGATCCTTATATTCCAGTTGTTTATATTTGAAATTGTCGAAAGTATTTGGCATGTGTCTGCCATCTGATATATATATTCTTTATGATGTAAAATATAAGCTGCGCACTCTATTTATGCATATATATATATATATATATATATATATATATATATATATATATATATAATATTATATCATTCATTCAACCAACCACATAACAAGAGATCATTCAGCATTATTCCTGAAAAGGGTAGGTTTCCATTTCCACAACTTCCCTTAACCCTTTGAGCCCTTCGTTCCTGAACAAAATTCTAACCCTTCTGCCTGAGCTCCTGAGTCAAAATTCGCAAATAATTGATATGCAATGTTTCACGGTAGATATAAAAATAATTACAAGTGTTTACCCACCGTTCAACCGGTGGCTGGGTATTACGTCACTTTTCTCTACCAGCGGTAAAGTGGTGGTCAGGTCTGAAAGGGTTAATCGTCTCTTCAACTACATACAAAACCTACTATACATATTACCCGCTAAAGGAGTAGTAGTACTTGATCTGATGGTCGCAGTGAAACTGAGTGTCACCAAACAGTGTAGATTCCTATGTCGATTCACACACATACACTCTCTCTCTCTCTTCTTTATCTATCTATCTATCTATATATATATATATATATATATATATATATATAATTTGGCATACATGCAGGTAGTTCCATCAAGTGCAGCAGAAATGTTTGTCACTCAAATGGACAAATTGCTTGCCTTTAGGAAATGGCGAAAGTTAACCAAAAATAAAATGGAAACTAAGGATTTCTTTTCAAAGAAGAGTACTGGAAAGGATATACACCTGAGGAAGTGCGTAGAACACACTAGCTGAGACAAAGCTATCGAAATATCAAAAATAGAGATACCAATCTAAATGTCTCTTAAACTCATTCAAACAATAGAAAAAAAATTGTGAAATATCAGCGGCGAATAGACATTATAATAATCAGATTACAAAGGAATCTGTTGTCAGTAAAGAAAATGCATAATAATGACTGGTTGGTATATATATATATATATATATATATATAGATAGATATATAGATAGATAAAGAAAATGCATAATAATGGTCGGTTGGTATATATATATATATATATATATATATATATATATATATATATATATATATATATAAAAAACAGACCACTTTTAAGGTTCCATTATAATAATTTATTTCACCAGAGCCCTTTTAAGGGACATTGGATCATCAGATAGCAATTCCAAAATGAAATGAAAGATGAAATGAATTCATACTTTTAACGGGTAGTATCAAGTTTATGTAATTTAACAGAGAGGGTAGGGAAGAGTGGTTGGAGAGACATGCTTGAGTTTAGAGAGGGTTTATTTTAATATTTCTTTCAATCATACTTAGTATTGGGGAAGGAGGGACCAGACCTTGACCTATTTAAACCGTTAACTTAACGGAAGTGATATATTGAAATGGGAGGGGAGAAGAGAGAAAAAGAAAAAGAAAAAAGAAAAAGAAAAAAGAAAGAAGGGGAAAGTAAAGAGAAAGAAGCTGTAATTAGGTTTTACGTAGGAAAAAAGGGGTGGTATATTTTTAGCAATTTATGTAAAAAAAAAAATAGATTTCAAAGTTTGATAGTAATTTAAATGTAAAAAAAAACACGCAGAAATTAATTTGATTCTTGCTAGCAATTTAAATATTTAACTTTTTTACAAATAACTTAGGGATTTAATATAACTTAAATACTGTATTTATTAACACATTCACAGAGAACACATTAAAAGGATTTTTTAAAATATAACAGTTTACCGATAGTAATCTTTTAATATTGTAAATGACTGTTAAGGTAACATCTTTATCAGTTTGAATCTAATTCATGAATGTAATTTGTAACTATTTTTAGATGGATAATCTTCCTTACTTAAAGTTTAGGTTTCTAATTAATTCAAATTGTGTATATGTGGGATATATATATATATAAGGAAAAAAACAAAATCTTTAATAATATCTTCCAATATAACTCCATCTTAAATTTAATATATATATATATATATATATATATATATAGTGATGTTCACTCTGTAAAAGGCGCAAGAGCTACTCCACGTAGAAGTTACAGAGTAAGAGGCACAGTTTTTGTGTATATGTGGGGAAGATAATGGTTAACCCTCGACTTGAACAGGTTAATATTTTCGTGATTGGGGAAGCACCCTCTTGGGAGTTGGTTCCAGACAGCAGCAGTTTGTGGGATGCAGCTGCTCGAGTGGAACTTACATCTCACCGATGGAATATGAAGGAAAGGGGGGTGGTTCGCTACAATGGGCGTGGTATGGTGGGTTTTAGCCGTGAAGGTGGTACCAAGGAATGTAGTTCATTGTCCATTGAAATAGCGTAAGTAGTGAGAGGCTTGTTCCATTTCGTCTGTGGGAAAGGGCTTGTAAAATGGAAATTAATTTGTCACCCACAAGGAGGCGAAGCTGCTTCTGGAGTCTGGCAACATCGGTGTAATTACTCATCATTTGAACTTTATTGCATTTCCTATGCACCAAAGTCTTTCTTTCTATCTCTCTTTCTCTTTCTCTCATTCACTCTCTCACCCCCTTTCTCCCTGTCTCTCTCTCTCATGCACGTTCGCTCACTTTCTCTCGTTCGCTAAATCTCTCTCACTCTCACTTTTTCTCGCTCTTGTTCTCTCTCTCACTCTCTCAAGCTCTCTCTTTCTCGTTCGCTCCCTTTTTCTTACTCGCTCTTTCTCACTCTCTCACTCTCTCTCTCTCTCTCTCTCTCTCTCACTCGGTCTCTTCCTCTCAGCCTCTCCCTCTCGTTTACTCTGTCTCTCTCTCTTAAGTTCACTCACTCACTCTCACTCTTACTTTCTCTCTTTTTCTCGCTCTCGTTCTCTCTCACGCTTTCTTTCTCGTTCGCTCACTCTTTCTCACTCTCTCTTTCACACTCTCTCTCTCTCTCGTTCTCTCCCTCTCGTTCACTCTCTCACGTTCGCTCACTTTCTCTCGCTCGCTCACTCTCTCTCTCGTTCGTTCACTCTTTCTCACTTTCACTTTCTCTCTCTCTCATTCACTCTCCCTCTCATTCTCTCTCTCTCTCTCTCTCTCTCTCTCTGAACACGTTGCATTTTATATATGTGCTTTATTACGCAGCCAGAACTTCACCCAAATTAGATTTGTCCTTCACAAAGGCTAAGCTTAATAAATACCAACAAACAGCTAATACATGGCCGTTAGTGTTTAAGTAACTCATATTATACTCTTGACAAACGTTCAGATTGCCTTAGTTTATTTCTATTGAATATTAACAATTTCTATTACATCTACCCTTGGATATTGGATTATGATTTTCGACGTGAATTAGAAAAATAATTCTCCAAAGTTCATCTTTATGCATTCGAGTACTTTCGACTTTCACTATATGACTGTGTACCGTGACAATATATATATATATATATATATATATATATATATATATTTACCGTGTGTAACAGTATAAATGTCCATCCCACAAAATGTTTAATATCTAAAAAAAAACACTAAACTCAGTTTTTTCCAGGTTTTCAGATAAGACGTTTAGCCATCTTGACACCATTTGTCGTATGAATCACTGAAAAAACCTTTGGTTTATTCAGCTAGGGAGAGAACAGGTCAAAATCGTTGTGTCAGCCGCACTGTCTTCCCAATTAAGGAATGGTGAGAGGAAAAAGATCATTCAGGCCATCAATAATGGTACCAACATTCATACCCTGGCTTCCATCTTCAAAGTCCTATTAAGGACGATCAAGAGAATGGTGAATAAGTTTTAAAAAGAGGAAGCAGTGCAGAGGAAAACTGAATCAGGAGATTACAATAGAAAGAGGGATCACCATTTCAACTCTGAGCTAAAGAGATCAATTAGAAATGATCCAACTCAATCCATAAGACGTTTAGTACACAAAAGAGGATTTTTA